TCCGAGAGACACTTCCGCTGCCATATCATAGGGTCGAGTGTAGAAAGATAGATCAAAGCGTTCCGCAACTAATTCTACAAGTAGAGCATCAGGTTTTGCTTTGTTTGGATCGCTTCGATAAAGCGAGCCCTTCAGAGTGTCTACTTTGAAGTTGAACTCGAAGCTCCGCTGCTGCATTCTAAACTGCTCGTTATGAGTTCCGTCTTCAGCATCTTCAAAGTCGTCGTCATCATCATCATCAATATCCTCCAAGATGACTGCCGTAGACGACTGAAGGAAGGGGAACGCGGATTGTCGACGGTTACGCATCGATTTGAGACCCGATCGACTAGAGGCATTGCTGGCCAGCCGTGGTCGTGAACGTGAACGTGAAGACGGCGGTCTTCCAGTAGTGGGTGCCACGCTTTGTTCTATCTCCTTGCTGAATCTCGGTATCGCAACGTCGATAATCTGCATCAGGTTCTTGTACTTGGTATCAGAGACCGTCGCATGCAACATGGGCAGATGGCCAGAGACTTTCAGCTTGGTGAGGTTGGGCGCCTTGGGCAGAATCGACATCGCCACCACAAAATCAACATTGATCTCTTCTACTACATGTAACGGTGATCCACCAGATTTACTGGTCAGATGAGACTTGGCTTCTTCGATGGATGGCCCGATGAGGACTTGAGTTGAAGTAAATTTGACGATGAATCTGTCATACATGGCCGACTCGAGGCGCTTAAAGTCCTCCTCGTTGTACGATTGGCGCTGTTTGGCTTGAATCTCCTTTAATGTCTCCTCGTCGACTAGCTGGCTGTTCACGTGCATGTGACCTGCGTCTACAACAAGACACGTCGAGCGCTCAGTGGTGATGCTAACCGGAATGATGATGAGCGGAGCCTGTAGATCCAGCTGGGCGTTGATTGTTTTGTGCTCTTCCAATGCAAACTCCAAGCCTACTCGAGTCTGTTCACGGAGGCCTTCAACCGTAGCACCAGCAGTCTCCATCAAAGCAGCGATAGACTCCATATGCCTTTCCGGAGGGCGGAAAAAGTCAACAATTCCCACGACGAAATTGGGATTCCAGACAACTTCGAGAGGCTTCAGCTTGCCCACGATCGCGATGTCACCTTCCCGCTCAAGAGGGTTCTGTTCAATCTCAAACTCGAAAAAGGGTTCCTCGTCAGTAGTCTCTAGCTCTTCAAGTGATATTGGCTTTCGCTCCTGGGCGTCTTTTACTCGAACAATCTCCGGATAGAGACTGTCGGGAGTTGTACCATCATTGACTCGTAGACCGCCAAGGCTGATACTAGCTAGAACCGAGTCTTTTCTTTGCAGAGCCTTGGCTTTGAATACGTCAAAGTGTAAACTAAGAAGATCCATGGTATTGTGGTGGGGGCTCTTTTTCAGCGTAAAGCTGCCGGTTCTAAGTGACGCCTCGATACACATGTTGACGGCTTCACGCGGGACATCGACTTCTTCGGCGAGGGCAGTCTTCTCATCCCAGTCAATCATGTCGTAGAGCTCCTTTCGCTGCTCTTCTGTCATCTGCGTGTTCTCCTCGTTTTGTTGAATGGTTCCTGTTGGCTTGGAGCCCCACATCCAGGCAACCCAGCCTTGCTGCTGTGGTTGCTGAGGCTGCTTGCTCAGGGCGGCTGCATTCTCTTTCTTCAGCTGGTTTCGAGCCAATGACCGCCAGAACCTAAGATCCTCATAGCTAAGCTTCATTTCCAGCTTATCAAGGCTCTCAGTCTCTTCTGCTTCGAGAGGAAGCCCTTGCTTCTTCTTCTTAAAGAGCTCAATATACCGTCTACGATCATCGCGGCGCTCTCTGAAGTAATCCCAGGACCACTTGCGGTTCCTTTCATGGATCTTACCCAAAATGGCATTCCCTGCAAATAGCAGCCAAGCTCGAGGGTCTTCCTTTGGAGTGACGCCCTTGGGTTTCAGTGCTTTGTATTCCTGGTGGCGAATGAAGTAGTGGAATAGGTCTACCATCATCAGGGAATCGCGATACTGGTCGTCATCTAACACGACACCAATCTCGTCAAACAAGAGGGTGGCTTTAAACTTGGGCGCCTCGATAGCTCCGGATTTATCCAGCTCAATCTTTGCTTGTCCGCTGACGGGCTTCAAGATGAACTGGTTGCTCGAGTCGAGTACGTGAATCTTGGCAAGCATACTCTTAAACTTGCCAACCATGTCCTCATGAGATATTGGTTCGCGCCCATTGCTGAAAAGCTCTGAGTCGGTATTCCAGTATACGGCCAAAGAATCCAGCGTCGCGAGCTTGTGGGTAGTTGTAGCCGAGTCTTGGATAAAGGATGGCGTCCAGTGGCCATCGGCGCTGACAGCACTAAACTGTTCAAGCGTAACGCCGAGGGCGAACGGGTGGCCAGGCGCAGAGATGGAGTCCTCGTATCGAATGTGAATGTTCTTGACGGTAATCTGCAAATTGTCGGTGATCTTGGTGGCCAAGCTCTGGGCGAAGCTCTGGTTCTTCTTCTGCTCTTCTTGGCTCATACCAGCCTTGCTGCGCTCTTTCAGCAGCTCGGCGTTCTCCAGCTTCTCCATCTTGAGCCTCTGTTTCCGGCGCTGCTCCTCATCCTCGTCGTATTCGGCCTCCTCTTTGGGACTCGCAAGCAGGTATACGTCTTCGATAAAGACTTTGACGGGGGCGCCCCGAATGTTGGACCAGGGGATATAGAGCGTCAGCTCGCCCAGGTGTCCCTCGATGACGTTGATGGGCAGTTTGAGCTGGTCGAGAGCTTCTCGGCGGAGCTCGAGGTTCCGCAGCTTGACGTCGCCGGACCAGATGCCAACCTTGAGCTGTGTGGGATCGAAGTTCTTGACGTACATGCCCAGGAAGCGGTTGAGCAAGCCGGCGACGAGTCCTTCCAACATCTTGACGGTGTTTTATGCCGTAACCCGGGCCGGGGATACGGGCGTTGGAGAGAGTTTGTCGGTCGAGGGCCTACAGGAAGGACATTGGCGGTGGTGGGGGATGTGGGCTCTGCACAAAGAGTGCTCGCCGGTCGATTGTTTCGTCGCGGCCGCGGTCTGCTGCCTCGGAGCTGCTGCTTTGTGTGTTTTCGAGCAGCAGCAGAAGAGCGAGGGCGAGGGACAAGACAATTGTGAAATTCGCTTTCAAAGTGGGGAGATTGGGCGCGAACCGAACTGATTTCGTGGGCTTCGGCTGCAGTCAGAGCGGAGTGCGTTCATGCGTCGCAGCCTGACAGGAGGGGCAGAGACGCAGAGACGCAGAGACGACAAAGAAAACAAACAGATCGCAAAGAATCGGGCCCGAGGTGTGCGGTGCGGCGCGGGTGCAATAGGATGGTGAGGAGGATGGAAGATTGAAAGGGCGTCTCGGCTGCGGCTCCAGGATTGGCGTTTGGGCCAGGAATCAGGATCAACGACGTCAACCGATCGATGGCAGGAACTCGATCAGGCTATTCTCACGAGCAGCGCGTTGTAGCGCAGCTCCAGCACAGCTCCAGCGCGGTGCAGGTCTCTAGCAGGCAGCTCCAGCGCCGTCCAGCAGCTGCTACAGGCGCTGCGGCCCCCTGGACCATGCCTGGACGCAGCGCCACGCCCCTGCCAGCTAGGTCGATGACGTAAGAACTGCCCCGCCAGTTCGAGCCCGGCCAATTGCTGTTCAGGGCATCAGCTTGACGTGGACGTGGACACCCTTTTGAGGTCACTTGAAATGGAGTGCATAGATATTCATCAATGCTGCGTATGTACATGCAAAGCAGTAGACAGGCAGTCGGCTTATCATTTGCATGCCAGTATATACCAATGTGCTGTTTAGGTAGTGCTGATACTTGTTATTGGCTCCGAGAACTCAGTAACTCGGTTCTCTACTATTCTTCCTTGCCTATTTGGATTATTTCCTGTTTTGGCCAACGGCCTGCCACCAGGAGAAAGCCTCTGCTAATGCTGTGTACTACTCCGTAATTGAGGTTGCAATGCAAACTTCAAATGTAGCGAGGACGAACTAATTTGATTCAATCAAGGAATTTTTCAGCAATTATTTGGTCTATTCTAACATCTCTATATCTCAGTATGTTTACCTAGTCCAGCGCTGGACGCAACAGCAACAGCATCAGCAAAAGCATCGCTACGAACCCCGTACTATTTGTCAGAGCAACTTGTCAGCTTCAAGAACACTGCCACGACGTCGAAAAACTAAAAAGCAAAAAAGACGACTTCGTCCAACGTCTTTCTCCAGTTTATAATTCTTACAGCCATTGAAAATCGACAACTCGGCAGCCTCTCCCGCCTTCCCGCCGTCATACCCTGGTGCATGTGGCCATTACGTCACGACCACCGTCTCAGCCATGCCTTGAAATGTCATCATAGCATCACTCCTTTCCATGTTTGCGCTGATCGATTTCTTGCCATGATCGTATTTATTCGTAACAGTATTTTCGATCTAATTTTGATCGCAGCTGGATTTTAAAATAAAATGGAAGATTATGATAATAAAGCCCAAGTAGTATGATCCAAAAAGCTTGGACGAGCTCATTGGACTCACACGTGTAGACTCTCCTAACGAACGGTACATTCTTGGAGTGTATATTCTTTTCCAGCTCAAATAATCCTTTTGTTTACCAAATAACCACTTCAAAGCACCTCAAAAGCCATGTTCAGAGCTTCACCAGCGCTGCGGTCCTCGAGGAGGATACTTGGTGCGCGATTCGTTTCTCCGAGGCCATCGCCAACAGCCCAGCGTCCAGTATTCAAAACAATCCGTCTAGCCAGCTCTTCCGACCACCCTCCAAATCCTCCTCCATCCAACAAAGAGCACGACAAGCCGCCTCCGAAGATACTCGAGCCAAGCGAGCACGTTTCCACCACCAGCAGCGTCCGAAGCGTCTTCGAACCCTCTGAAAGCGCCAATAAAGATGCCACGAACCTAAACTCAAGTCTCAAACACGACATTGTATGAAACTCTCAAGCTACTATATGCTTTTTTTTAACATAGCATCAAAGACTGAGACTATTGTTAGGACATCGTCAAAGATACATTCCGTCTAGACACGGTTCCTCGAGAATCCCACATTCTTGGTTTATCAGGGACAGTGCCCTACCTCGCCACCTCTCTATCAACCGTCTTCCTGGCTTGGAATCTCAACAAGGACGTCCCAAGCGGGAACCGAATTCTCGACCACATTCTTCTAGAACACGAAACAGCACAGTATCTTCTTGATTTCATCGAACCGCTACAGCTCGGGTACGGCGCCGTGATTATCTCGTTCCTCGGAGCCATTCATTGGGTACGACCCTCCACTCCTTTCCTTTCCTTTTATTTGCCAGTTGGAGGCACGAAACACTAACAATTTGATTAGGGTCTTGAATACGCAGAAAAGAAGCCGCAGCGTGACCGCACCCGTTTCCGCTATGGGATAGGTCTCGGCGCATCCATCGTCGCCTGGCCCACGCTCCTAATGCCCCTCGAATACGCCCTAACGACCCAATTCGGAGCCTTTATCGCTCTCTACTACGCCGATTCCCGCGCCACGAAGCACGGATGGGCGCCGGCGTGGTACGCCAAATACCGCTTCCTCCTCACGGCCATGGTCGGCCTCGCCATCTTTGTCTCGCTCGTTGGCCGCGCCAAGATCACCCAGCGCGGCGAACTCAACCAGAAGAGTCTAAAGGCCAGGGTGGAGGCGCCAGGCATTGCGGACAAGGAAACGGACTGGGCCAAGTTGGAGAAAGAAGAGATGTATAGGGTTAAAAAGGAAAAGGCCAAAAAGGCTAGGGAAGAAGGACAGGCGGAAAAGGGAAAGCAGCAAGAAGATATGAAAGGTAAACAAGATGGTCAGAGCGAAGACACGAAGAAGGATGAAAAGGACGATGGAGAAGAGAGCCAGGAGAAGAACGACGATGGAAAGGACGAGAAAGATGAAGGGGACGAAGAAGACAATGAGAAAGAGAAAAGTGACAGCAGTAAAGATGAAGACAAGAATGGCGACGCTGACAACAGCCAAAAAGACGAGGCAAAGGATAACGAGAGTAAAGAGAAGTCTGATGAAGACAGCAAATCAGCCAAGGGTGACAAAGACAGCAAGAAGAAGAAATAACTCGCCGGAAACAACCAACGCTCAATTCATTGTTATATATTCATAGCCAATTAGCTTCATTACAGCAGTTTAGCAACCTAATTCAGTTTCCCATCCTTGTCTAATTTTTCAATCTTGAGAACAGCCAACAGAATGATCATCGTATCCCACCCACACATATACATACTAATGCGGAAAGAGAGAAAAAAAAGAATCGTAAATTAAAATGCACCACAGCCGTATAAGTTTGGCACAGTAATGGCATAGCAAAAGGCCCCTTAGGGTACTGCCCAGGCAGTGTCATCCGTTCATCCATACCTTTCAACCTTCAACCCTATATAATCCTCCTCACACACCACGAGTTTTTCCCAAGGCAGTATGTCTGCAGTATACTTCTAACAACTAAATATCTTTTTCTCTCTCTTTCTAAAAAAAGGGGGGGTATGGGTTCCAACGCCTAAAAATGCACACAAGATTCCATCATGTCAAGCTATGTAGCGTGGCCCAACAATAATTCTGCAGATCTGTTTGTTTCATCAATATCACAGGCTATCATTAGGCACAAGGAATCTCGTATATCGTGATGCTTTGTTGATCGTATCCGTCAAATTCGTGATTTTCGTTTGCTAAGGTCTGGCAAATCCTTGCTTGGCCTGCCACTTGTTAGAAATCAAGGAATTGATACTTTTTACAGTGGATTTTTTTTTTTTTTTTTTCATACCTTCATCTGTTCAATTCTGGCCTTCAACTGACTTGTCACCTCAGCTGCTCGCCTCCAGCTCTCTACTCCATTCGAGGCCTGCGGCAACGATGATACTGGGCGGTCTCTGCCTGATGTCAACGTTGAATCGCTGCCATCATCATGCTGCGCAATATTTCTAAAACCTCGAGCAGGAGATCCACGACCAGACGACCCATTGCTGCCCGCATAGCGCAGGTCTGGGCTTAGTTTGCTTCGTGCGTATGGAGCATCGCCGTTTTCTCTGTCATCGGATAGGCTGCTGGCGAAGCTCATCCTGCTCCGGGCACTCGGGGCAGCCATGGTATCACGATACATATCTTCATGTATCGGTGATGTCATACCTGTATTTGATTCGTTAGATATCACGCAGGGAATAAAGGGTGCCCAAAATCGAACTCAGCTTACCGTTTGCCTCAGCACGGCTGAGCGCTTTCTTTAGGCGGTCTAGCTCACGCCGTAATCTATCGTTGGTTTGCTCTGCCGCCTCTGCATCGCTTCGAGCACGGACAAGCTGGGTTTCTTTGGCTTTGATACTCAATACGTCTCGCGTATGGTCCTCGATGAGGCTGGCATTCTGATTCTTTAGCTCTTGAATCTCCGACGCAAATTTGCTTCGTTCCTGTCGCAGGTCGTCGATGTGGCGAGTTAGGCGATCATTAGCTGTCCGCAGTTCCTCTAACTCAGCCCTCTCTATGGCGGTGAGGCCACTTGGAGGAGGAGGGGATTCTATGGGCATCTGCACAGGGGCCGCAGCAGGTTTAGCCAGGGAACGACCTGTTAGGCCACGAGAGGCCGCAGATCTTGACTGCGGTGCTGGCGGCAGCTCTTCTTCATCGTCAGATGGCGGCATGATTGGCCCGGATCGGCGAGGTGATGTAGTTCCAGAAGCTCCAATCGCCCGTTTCTGGGGGGCCTTTAAGCCGCCCGTCTTTGGTAGACCCAGCTTGCTTCCTGCGGGCTTCGCTGCTGGAGCTGCTGCCGGGGGTGCTTCAGCAGGGGCTGCTTTCTTCGCGCCCAATGCAGGCTTCTTGCCTCCGACGACTTTCTTCGGCGCCGCTGCTGGAGCAGGCTTCGGGACAGGCTTGGGCTTGTCCTTGGCCTTGACTTCGGCCGCCTCGAAGTACTCTTTGATCTTGGTCTTTCGAATATCGTCCAGGCCTTCCAAATTAGGAGTCATGGCTCGCTCGCCGATGATCTTCATGACAGTTCCAAAAATCTCAGCACCGCCATCTCGCATGGCCGGGCTTGATTCGGACAGCAGCTTCTTTCCGGCTTCACAAATTTGGGCGATTTCGGGCTTGGATGGTACATCGCGCGTGGTCCGCAGGCAACGAATGAGAAATTTCATTGTGCCCTCTTTCACCTGAGGATTCTTGTTCGCTAGGAAAGCAAGAATATCTTCGAGACACTCGGACAATGAAGTCGCCAAAAAGGTAGCATCAAGGGCACCTCCCAAGGCATCGGCAACAGTAGCCTTCTTCTCCTTCAATCGTTCCATTATGGGCTGCATTACCGTGGCGCGATGTTTGCCGAAAGCCTGCCGCAATCCCCTTGCCAACAAGTCAATACATTGGGCCGCTTGAGTAACGACAGCAACGTTGGCATCCTTCATGCACTTGGCAAGGCCTCTCGTTACCTCGTTGAAGTCGCCGTCCTTAATACGGGGAACATTGAGTACTTGGTGTAGCCCGTCAACGGCGTCTTTACGATCCTTCCACTTGGAAGAGGCCAGAAGCTCATGGAAGTTTGGCGGCATCTTCTTCAGAACATCCTCCGGCTCTGCCAAGGCAAAAGCATCAATTTCGGCAGGCTCATCCGCCTCCTCTTCGCCATCCTCTTCGCCATCTTCGCCGCCGCCGCCGCCGCCAGACTCAGCAATTTCCTGCTGAGACCGTAGTAGTCGCTCTTGTTTGGGATTGCCTTCGGCTTTAACTTTTTCAAATTGTGACTCCAGGTCGGTTTGCTGTGTAGGTTTCAAATCTCCCCAGAACATGGGCTTCATGGCTTCTCGCAGCCACCTGTAGAGCTCCACGGCAAGGCCAGTGGCCTCGGCACGCACATTTTTATCGGCAGCACCAAAAGCCTTGGGTAGAGCTTTCAGAATAGGCTTCGGGTCGACAATCTTGCAGCCGTAGTTGTGGACAATCTGGGTCAGGGCATTGAGAGTAGCAGCCACGTTCTTGGGCACCTTGTTGCCAAGACCGGGTAACACTTCCTCGATAACAGGGGCAGCAACGTCCAGCTCAATGTATAACAGCAATGCCTCGAGAGAGTTTTGCTTAATGGCAGGTCGCGTCGATGATAGACACTTCTCAACCATGGGGCTAATTGTGAGTCCGCGTGTGCGCAGAGCACCGTCTCGTCCGCCATATTTGAGAAACTCGCACAAAGAGATGATGGCCTCTTGCTGGGCAGCCACATTGGAGTCGGAGACGGCAGACTTCCACAGACCCGGGTCGTTCAGAAAGGGACGGAAACACGGGTCGGACTCATCCGGTGATTTGGCAAACTGCTTAGCAACATCTTCGTAGGCTTGTTTGCGGACTTTCCAGTTCTAGATATCAAACAGAAAAAGAAGTCAGGTCAGCCAGGACGGGGTTATCACGAGCCAGCGGCACGGCGAGATCTGTTCCAAAGTACCTTGTGTGAAAAGCGGTCGGGGAGTGGTAAGGAGGAGAAGTCGTCCTCTTGGTCGGCCATGGCGACGAGGGAGGGCAACGAAAGATAGCGTAACGCTGATGAGGTCTGGGGACGCTTCTGCTCCGAGGAATCTGCTGGGCGTTCGTCAATTAGGCTGGCAATTCTGCGGATGAGCTTCTTGAACGGGTGGTGACGCCGTCGCGACTCCATCGTGTAAATGGGCCACGCGGCGGAGAGGAAGGGGAGTTTAAACAGTTCACAACATACCACAGACGTCGGAAGCGACTGGCGTGAATGCGTCAGGGAGGTGAGGCTAGGCGACAGATCCAGTCCAGGAGGCTACTTGGCACGATTCAACGAACAATACCGGGGAGCGCGGCCGCAGGTGTCAGCTACCCTGCCTTGCGGGAGGCTGGAGGACGACGACCGGGATCAGGATAGGCAATAGATGCACGGCTGAGCTGTCGGTGATGCCTCTCGGCGGGCCCTGTACAAAATAATGCTGAAATGGAATAACGGTATGTACAAAAAGACGAGAGGGCGGGGCAGCAGCGCTTTCTCGGTGGGAGCTGTCGGTGAGAGGTTCGAGATTCGGGGTTCGAGGTTCGGGGTTCGAGGTTCGTAGCAGGTCCTCGGCGGATGCAAAAGTGGCAGATGCGCAGGTTCAAACGCGCAAACCGCCGGCAAGCCCGTCGTATCTCGTGATTCGCGATATGCGTCGCGGATGCTGCAGAAACTTGGTTGGCGGCTGTCTTGTGCTCGCGCTGGCGCTGTGGCATGTCCCTGGTGCTGGTGGAGGGTTGCCCATCAACCCATGCCATCCACAAAAGTCAACAAATCGAGGGGCCCATCACCTGATTGCTCCAATCAGCTGCCGGCGCCGGCAGGGCTATCCTGAAAGCGGTGCTGGCGGCGCGGCAGCCATCCACATGTGCATAAACAAATGAATTTTCTTGGGGCCTCTTCTGAGCTTGGAGAATTGCATGCTGGCTGGTTCGAGGAACTGGACAGAAAATAGAAATACATTCACATATAGCTTTTTGTTTATTTGCTTCTAATGGCATCTCCAATAGCATCGGCGTCCCAGCGCAAATTCCTGCAGTTAATTAGGTTGTCTGCCAGACAGCTTCAAGCTACAGGTACCGTTGAAGTTACACCGCTATCTGGCAGACAGAGTACCTGCAGCAGTGCTAAGAAACGCCCTGGTAGCGCCAGGTACTGCCAAACTTACACATTTTGCGCTGCTGCACTCTGCATTTGCCGACTGATCAAGTACCTATCCAGGTAGATCAACCCCGCGGCAAAAATCAGCAGTACTGCCATGCCATCGCCAGAGAATCTCGTCTAGCAAAGATGCTACCAATCAGGTATCGAATCATGATAGCTTAGTAGTAGTCGCCCTCATCACGCAAAAGGACTTCTTTTACATTCCAAAATTCACAATTGCTGCCCAATCGATGCGGGTGCCCAACATCCATCGAATGTGAGTCAAGCCATGCAATGACGCAGGGGAGCACAAACAGGTGCCAATCCCTGGGAAGCGCTTCAAGCACGTGCAAATCTTGGTATTAGTCTGCTCACCGCCTTTGAACCCCCACCTACGACGCTCAGTCACGTGAAGATAAGATAAATCTCCGGGAAAGCTTCGAGCGCGTCAGACAAGATTCGGTGCAGCCTTGCTTCATCACGGCTCCACCCATCCTCAGCCTGTCATCGTTCGAAGCATTGTGTGGCAGCTCGAACAGATGGAGAGTCTCCAACGATCGTGATAACTCTCTTGTCGCTCGCCACACGGTCGCAATATGGATCGCTTTTCGGGCCCATCGCCGTTCGCCCTCAACGCCAAAGCTGCCGCTGCAAACTACTCATCGTCTGACGATTCAGAATCCGATGATCCAACCGTCCCTGGACTGAATGACGACGACCATGACTTTGGCGACTTCAATCCGCGCAAGAAGCGGCGTGTCGGCGGAAACAGCAAAGAGAAGGCAGCCCTGGGCATTTTCGGCTCTGATAGCGAAGACGATAATCCGAGCTCGCGCTGGAAGAAGAAGACTTTGAGAAGCAAAGGTGTAAATTTTGTGTCAACGACAAGTGAAGGCGCTGAGCAGCAGCAAGATGATAGCGACGAATCGGAAAACGAAGAGCGGCTCTTGGACAACGGCCTGAATAGCCGTAACAGAAACAGCGAAGAAGATGAGGACGAAGACGAAGATGAAGAGGATTACGACAGACCAGCTGGACTGGGGCTTGGCAACGCGGCCATGAAGCTGCGCTTTGCGGCTGCTGAAAGGTCGCGCGAAGACAATGCGCAGAGGGTATCAGACACACGACCGTCATTCAGGACAAACTTCAGCTCAGGAGGCATCCTTGGCGGCGGCTTTGTCCCCTCGTCGGCCAAAGATCCCGTGTTAAAAGAGACGAAAAACGGAAACGAAACTCCCCGAAATAAGCCTCAAGTAAGCGCTTTCACAGCAAAGGGGAAAATAAATCCAAACTCATTTGGTGCCCGGATGATGGCAAAGATGGGTTACGTCGAAGGCAAGGGTTTGGGAAAGGAAGGCGAAGGACGAAACATTATTATCGAAGCCAACCTCCGGCCCCAAGGCATTGGTCTTGGTGCCGTCAAGGAAAAATCAGAGCAAGAACGTCGAGAAGAGAAGAGACAAGCACAGCTGCGAGGAGAGGAGGTTGTTGACTCGGACGAAGAAGAGAAGAAGCGCAGGATGGCCAAGAAGAAGGCTCGGGGAGCAGTAGCCTATAGCAGTGGCGGAAGCACCCCGATGAGGCAAAAGACAAAATATCTCACAGCCGAAGAGTTGAAGAAGAGCGCACCAGGCTTGAACATTCCAGATGCATTTGCCCCTATTCTCGACATGACGGGGCCCGGAGGCAAGCTGCTTACTTCAACAAGCGGTATTATGACACCATCATCCGGCGTGCCTGAATCAAGCGAAGTAGTTGAGGCGAGGAAACTCGCTAAAAGAGCACAGGCAGACCTACTAGCCTTTTCAGAAGAATGGAGGAACCTAGAAGGCCGCAAGACGTGGGTGAATTTAGAGCTCAAGCAAAGGGAACAGGAAATCGAAGATTTGCGTTCGGACTTTGAGAGACTGCAAACGTTTGCAAACGTGGTGACGGAACGGCTTGTTGATGCAACAGAGTGGGAGCAGGTCATGAGTGCTCTCCAGACCACCGTTGATCTTGGCTCCGCGAATGATGCGATTGCGGATATTGCGGTTGCTGCAATCCACCCGTTTCTACGCAACTCAGACTGGGACCCGATGACAGAGCCAGCTCGATTCGCGTCCGACCTGCACAAGTTATCTGGGCTCTTTGTCACTGCAAATGCGAATAAATCTGTCAACAAGTGGAATTCTTCCGCAAATGAGGACGATGGCGTGTACCGGACACACCACAAGGCGACTACGCCGTATGAGACAATGATGTACAAGAATTGGCTGCCACGAGTACTGACGGCGCTTCGTTCTTGGGATCCCTTTAACCCCACGCCGATGCTTGACATAATGGAAAACTGGAAAGACTTGCTTCCGCCATTTGTTCGAGCGCAGCTGGTTGATAACGTAGCTCGGAAGCTTGAGACGGCCGTGTCAGACTGGAATCCGAAGAAAAAGCGACGGAGCCATCATCTCCCACACACGTGGCTATTTCCTTGGCTGCAGTATCTCCCCCCTTATCATCTCGACCCAAGAGGCACGGGATTGGTTGCCGACGTCAGAAGAAAGTTTAGACATCTCATCGACGCTTGGGAGTTTGAGAGGGGCGTTGTGCCTGGGTTGACGCAGTGGAAGGACGTCTTGGGAGACCAATGGCGGCCGCTTATCATGTCACACGTCTTGCCATCAATGGGCAAATACCTGCGCACCAATTTCCGCGTTGATCCTGCAGAGCAAGAGCCCTATCTCCCCATTCTGGTTGGCATCATGAAGTGGAACCAAATCCTCGGCGACACAGTGCTTGCAGAGGTCTTGGTACAGGATATGTTCCCCATGTGGAGCAGCAGACTGCAGGAATGGCTTGCGCTTGATGAGGCAGATCTTGGTGAGGTGGCGGATTGGTATAGCTGGTGGAGAGGAGTGCTGTTGAAGGACATGGCGGAGATTAAGGCTGTCAAGACGGAACTCGATAGAGGACTACAGCTCGTGAACATGATTTGAACTAGCATAGCGTATGGGCTTGTACAATTATCTTTGGTTTAAGTTGTATATAATACCACAATTTTTAGAAGGGGCATCAAGAGAATAGGGGCTGCTGCTGTACGCGGTGTGTTTTGTTTACATGCATGCTGGCGCTTTGAGCCTGTAATCCATGCAACTGCTGGGCTGTAAGATCTCATGGGTATGTAGCATGGCTTCCATTCTATATTATGCTTTGCTATCTGCAGCATAATGATGGCTGGCAAATACTGCACATCCGAGGCAGCTGATCCTAGCTTCAAGCACGTGGCCATGACAGTGGTGGTGGCATTCGGTTTATTTTTACTCGCCTAGGCATCGCTCTGACTGTGTTTAAGGTTGGGTTGGATGGAATGAGCTTTTTTTTCTACCCACCGTTTCAATTTTACTCACTAGATGAATTGATCTGCTTGTAATCAGCACCTAGTATTCATTATAAGGCCCAATATGCGAAAGGCACTGCTCTGGCAGAATAACTTAAACAACAGGCTTGATGCTTGCGAAGCGCCTTGGAAGATGTGCAGCCCCTGCAGCATGCGGCTACCCTGCAGCAGAGGGATGGATGCCTGATTTGGCACAAGACGACGCAGGCCGCTTACTGAAGGATGAGATCCCCGTGGCAGTTTGGAGCTGGAGTTGTTACTAATAATAATGTTTGTAATGTCTTGCGGATATTTATAGAGTTGAGAGGCTCGAGACGCTGTATCTGGGATTCCTTATACTATACATACTATACTGCACCTGAGTATGCCCGATATAGTTTGAAACATGACGCTGCATCTCGCATCCGCCAACAGCCGAGACAATATCCTCCGCTTAGCGCTCCTCAGCACGCAATCAATCCCCTGTGCCCAGCCGCAGTTCGGCGACAAGCGAGCACATGCTCTTCGGCCCTTGGTCTGCCATGCGCGCATATGCAGCGTCATGGGTTGGATTGCATTGGCCCCTGATCAGCTTGACGATGAACGGTCTTGCACCACTGCGTACTGTACTCTTACCGCATATCGTAATCGGGACTGGGCATAGTACATAGCTGACCTACCTATAGTACTCAGGCCGTTGGAGGCTGGGGGCAGTAGGGATGCCCTGGCTTGATCGTGCTTACTTGCTTGTTTCTTCTTTCTTGTTTTTGTGTCTCCCATGGCGATGTTATACTTTGTGCAATAGTGGCCGTTGTTATTGTTGTTGTTGCTGCTGTTGCCCTGTTGCCCTGATGTCAGTTGGTGGGTACATTATTGAGGGCCTGATTCAGGTACTGAGTTCGTACCTCCATGCACGCACCAGCCAGTGCAGCGCAATGGCCACCGGGCGACAACTGACTTATAGTGGATTAAATACGGGTACACAGAGATGAGAGTGCTGCGCTGCGCAGTGATGTTGCCACAAATGTAGTAGGTAGATCGCCACTTACTGGGTATGACGGGTGGCAGGATGCATTTACTAGTTTTTTTAATGAAATATTTTCTTTTCCTTTTTCTTCTCCTCCACATATTTGTTTGTCTCTCTTTCTTCTCGTATGCCGAGTAGTAGTCAATGTTATTTGTTGCCTAGTGCCGCAGGTAAGTCCTGCCTATAAACACTTCCAATTGACCTGCTGCTGTATTAATAGGTGCCGGTAGCCCACTAAACTCGCCTACGCCAGGTACATCGCAGTTACCTGCATCGCCCCCTAGCTCCTCGTACCTGGATGAGATAAGAATCCAGGGCCTCAGAGTCTCAACCCTCTCTCTATCGCCGGCGATAAAAAAAGTCTCCCCACATCGGAACCTAAACAGCAACCCCCCTCCACCGCCCTCCCACATCGCAACGAACGCACCGCAAACCGCAGCGCAGGTGCTCCCAGGCGACACAAACGAGACCGGGGCGCTGTTCTGCTCTGCTCTGCATCTGACGCGAGCATCGGCTTGGCCTCAGGTACCGCAATTCCGCAGCTGTGATTCGCCGGCCGTGCTGTGCTGCTGCTGCGTGACGAACTGACGGAACTGGACGGCCTCTGACTCTTCTCTTCTGACCCGTCGTCGTGCCTGGATGCCCGACCGTCTGCGTCTTGTTATCAAGTGACTTCTTACTCTCTCTATATCCTCTCCTTTATTCTTCCTTCATATATCCTTCGACCGGACATCGCGTGGCCGCTGTCCGAGTTGACGTGGCCACTGCTTAGGGCCGTATTTACTCGACCCCACGACAGCTGGTATTTGGCGTACAACCACCACGGCTGTTGTCCTACCGGGCTCAGTCTCTCCCTTGTTTGCCTTCTTCAACGCCCCTCCCATCTACGCCGCATCAGTCTCTCCGCCGGCGACTCTTCTCTCGCCCGGCGCAGTAGCATCGATTCGCAGCCATGTTCTGGAGGTTTGGCGGCTACGCCAACATCTCGACCATCGACACCATCCTCGACAAGCCCGACTTCACTCTTGAAGAGCTGCTCGAAGAAGCCGATCTGATACAGGAACTCAAGCAGCACAACTCCAAGCTCATCGAGTTCCTGCGTGAGGATAAGGTTCTCGAGAAACTCCTCGAATACACCGTTGTCCCCAAGCTCGAGGCCGTCCAAGGCCTTGACGAGTCCGCCGACGATGAGAACAAGCCTAGGGGCCGCTTGCTGCCCTTCCAGCGCCCTCGCGCATCGTCGCGCACCACCGACCCCGGCGAAAGCGATGAGGAGCTGGATAAGAAGCGCAACCGCTACGCTCATGTCGCCTGCGAGGTCCTGAGCTCCGATACCTGGTCCATCTACGAGGCCCTCGTCGAAAACCGACAGCTGATTCGAAACTTTTGGGATTTCCTCTCTCGACCCGCACCGTTGGACCCTCTTCAGGCTAGTTACTTTACAAAGGTCAACGAATCACTGTTTGAGAAGAAGACGGAGGAGATGATGGAGTTGCTTTGGAGCTTGCCCAACGTGATTCCTGATATGCTTCGGCATGTGGAGAGTCCCATGATTATGGATTTGCTGCTCAAGATTATTGCCCTTGATCGCACAGAAGGTGGCCAAGGTGTTGTTGAGGTTGGTTGATTCTTGCTTCCAGAATACCCCTGTTGACGAGTGCCGTTTTTTATGTGTGTTTCTAACCCTTCCATTCCATGCATTCAGTGGCTGTATTCCCAGGATATCATCCCAACACTCCTCTCTTTTCTCGGCCCCGAGCACAGTTGGGTTGTCCAAACTGCCGCCAGCGACTTCATCAAGGCCATGATTACCATCTCCGCCAACGCCTCGCAGAATGAGCAGCAGTGCATCGGCCCCAACGAGCTCACTCGCCAGCTCGTTTCGAACCAGTGCGTGGAACAGCTCATCGGCTACATGCTTGAAGGCGGAAACTCCTTGACTGTGGGCGTTGGTATCATCATTGAGGTAATTCGGAAGAATAACTCTGATTATGATCCAGATGTTGGCACTGAAGCCAACAGCATCCCTTCCAGCCGTGATCCCATCTATCTTGGCAACCTGTTGCGCCTTTTTGCTCAGAACGTGCCCAAGTTTATGAATTTGATCATGAACGAACCCTCCAAAAAGCAGGGCGTTGACTCGACCTTCAATGAGAAGCTAGAGCCTCTTGGGTTCGACAGATTTAAGACATGTGAGCTCATGGCAGAGCTGCTGCACTGCAGTAACATGGGTTTGCTCAACGAAATGGGCTCAGAGCAGCTGATTGCATCGCGAGACGCCGAGCGCCAGCGACTTAGAGCCGAAGGCAAGCTCATCACCCGAGAAGATGAGTCGTCTGCTGACGACTTGACGATGCGCATTCCTCATCCAGCCCACCACGAGGAAGTCCGCCGACTGGAAGTCACCAACGCAGATGATGATGGGTTTGAGGAAGTGGAGCCTACCAGTGAAATGAACGATGATACTTCCCACGAATTTATCAAGGCCGAAGATGATATTGCTCATTCTGCGAATTTATCCTCATCTTCTTTCCTCGAAAAGGACGAGGACGAATTTGTTGATGAGCCGCTGAGCTCTCCTCGGCTAACAGTAAATACTGTAGAGATTAACGAGCAGCGTTTCGAAGAGCCCGATCTTGTTGTTGCGCCACTCTCGCCTACCAAAGCCAAGGCTCCCGAGCTTGCGCAGGCAAAGGCAGAGGAGACTCCTGCTACTAACGAGGGACAAAACACGGCTGAGGCAGAAGAAGAACAACCTCTGACGAATTCAACGGTTCTTTCCGGGCCCATCATAATTGAGACACCTGAGCCAGCTAAACCTGTTCTTTCTGAGCCAACCGAAACTGCCGACGCCGAATCTTCAAAGCCTGGGCTACAGCCGTCACCGCTGCCCAGGGAAGATGGTACAGCCAATGCCAATGTTGACGAATTGGTTCCCGACGATATCGAGAAATCCCGCGGCCTATCCCCTCACCCTGAAGATACCCCGGCCCCTCTTTTCTCGGTACCTCTCGCTCCTGATTCTGGCGTACAGCAGCCACCACACAGCTCTGAAGCTGGCGCTGTTGCAGCTGAGGCACAGCTAGGAGAGCTTGAGGTTAATGCTGTTCCGCCCTTCCAGGGTCCCGCGGAGACGCTTGAGCCTGTAGTGGGCGATTTTCTCAAGATGCAATTCGTTGAGCATCGCGTGGTCCCGACGATATTGGTATGTGTGGCCGAGTCTGATTTTTCTCCCCCTTCAAAACAGCCGCAATTACAAAACTAACATTAAAATAGTCCTTCTTTTTCGCTTACCCTTGGAACAACTTCCTGCATAACGTCGTGTACGACATTGTGCAACAAGTATTCAACGGTCCTATGGATCGCGGTTTCAACCCGACATTAGCCGTATCGCTGTTTGAAGCTGCCGACATCACTACCGCCATCATCAAGGGCCAACAGGCTAGCGACGAGTCTCAGGCCAAGTCAAAGACCCGTATGGGATACATGGGCCATCTCACGCTCATCGCGGAAGAGGTTGTTAAGTTCACTGAGCGCCACCCCCCTGAGCTTCTATCGGAGATGGTCCTTGACAAGGTTATGAGCCAAGATTGGATCAACTACGTAGAGGGTGCTCTGGCAGAAACAAGAGAGCGAGATAATGCAATTCTGGGCGGTGTCCGACCCGAGGTGGCTCTAGGGCACCGAACTAGCCTCGGCGGCAATGGATTGGGTGGCATCGGCTTCTCAGGTCTTGGAAACACGGTCAGTGCATCCAATGCCTTGGCAGAAGCTGGCCTCAACGGGGGCATGGAGATGAATGAAGGAGATGGTAACGGGATTGGCCCCTTTTCAATCAGCGCCGGTACTCTGATGTCTGGATTTGGAAGTAGTAGCGACGAAGAAGACGATGAGGGTGATGGCGACGAAGAAGACGTGAATTCAGAGGTAAGTTATGATTCCTCCGATGAGCACGGCAACGAGTCTCCTGAGGCGACAATGGGTATGACGCATTCACCCGAGGATGTTGTCATGATGTCTCCCGAACCTATCAGATCGAGTACACCAGATGGAACACCTGGCTTGGAAGCTGATGTTGACCTTGACCAACCGCATCAAGACATCATGGTAGTTGAAGAGGGAGGGTGGATGACAAGGAGGGGGCCTGGCGAAGGTGGCTCAAATAGAAGACTAGATTTCTCTTAGAAGGAGGAAGAGGAGGAGGCGACCGTCTTCCGCTTTAATGAGGATGATGGGGATGATGATACCACCGCCGATATTCCTAGAGCCTCGGCTGCACCGGGTAGAAACATCTCTGGCTCAGACGATACAGAGCCAGAGAATTTCGACCAATTTGAGCTGGAGTACCTCTCGGTACTGTTGGCGAGAACGGCGGCTGAGGAAGAACTAGGAGAGCATTAAATATTATATGGGCACCAAGGGAGTTTTTTTTTTTTTTTTTATTCTTTTTGTGGATAAGATGGAAATATGATGTATCATGCCCCGAGCGGATTGCAATTCTCTTTTTGTGGATAGCACACTGAGAGCGAGAGAAAGAGAGAGAACAAAAAGCTCAGGGAAGCGAATTTGGAAGATGTCATTGTTTTTTGCAGCATTGTCTCGAGATGTCTGGCTCAAGGGATGAAAGGGAGATGTTATCATCATGGACCATTTGTCAGCCTTAGGGACTTGATTCTAACTGCCAACGCTCAATTTTCCCACCTTCTTCTCTTCCCGCCCTCTCCTGCATTTCCATTTCCTCTTGCTCGCTTGTGGAAACTTTGTTTTGCTGATGCCAGAGGCCTAGTTTCGAGCTTATACTGACCCACTGAATCAGGGATCGTTGGTACCGCCGTCTATCCCACCTCCGCCTCCACCGCCTCCTCCTTTGAATATTCCGCCTTCAAGAGCTCGACTGCAGCTTGCAGCTCGGCTCGCTATGCACCAGAAGAATAACCAACAGACACAGGAGGCCTCATCGGCCACTGTTCATGATAACAACGATGACGACGACGACGACGACGACGACGACGACGACGATAATCTCGAAGATCCATTTGGCGATGGAGAGGCTGAAGAACTGGATGATGACTTGGATGACATGTCAACTAACCTGGGCCGTGGAGCGTGGTGGAGAGGCGTTGTTGAGAGGAGAAGTGGAGGTGGTCTTGAAAATGATGACTCTGATGACGACGAAGAGGAATTTGGAGATTTTGCCATGGCAGAAGAAGAGAAGGGCGGAGAGGGACAAGATGGGGACAATGTGGTGTTGAAGCCTCTCGCCGTACACCCGCCTAGAGAAAGTAGTAGAGGCTTAAGCGGCTTGTGGCCTTTTGGCTCTCGAGCCGAGAAGGACAAGGACGAGCCAAAGGGTGATGCTGATGCACGAGCGGCGGAAGAGAGGGACGAGGAGCCTGAGAAGAGGGCGGTGGAAGTCAAAGAGGCCCAGCGGAGAACCAGCATTGAAGATGATGACGACGATGACGAGGCTGGGGACGGAATACGGAGCTGATGTCAAGGACTAGATCTATATAGATAAACTTTGGGGACAGGTTATATGTATGAGTTTGTTCGAGCATGAGAGAGACTGAAATGGATAATACGAGTATACGCCAGTGTATGAATTTGAGATGAATGGGATGGAATCTGGGTGGAATAGGAAAGGAAATAGGGATGGGATGGCTTGCGTGTATGTGCGTGTGTGCAGGGTTTGATATACGATTGGTTCTAAGGATGTGTGTATTATTATTATGTCTGTTGCGGCTGGCTGAGGCAGAGATGTAGATGGAATATGTTTTTGGGTTTAAAATCTTGAGACGACATTGAAGTTTGTTCTTTTCTGTTTTTGATACGTATAATTTGTGGTAATGCTGACTCGATAAATGCAGCTTGACTCCATATCAGAGCACACAAGCAAGCCCCATAACGCTGCAAGACTTTTATTGGCCAACAACGCGAGCGAAGTGGGCACTTTGGGCGAGGTCGTATTGTATTACCTACTACATATCTTGCTTTCGTCATCTTCGGGCTTCTGCAGTTAGCGAGAACATGATACAGCCTGTTCAAGTTGCTATGATATGGGAGAAAATTTTGGTCAATTGGCTTTGAGATGATCAAGAGGATTGGATATGCGGTGCTTTTGGCGCTGTATGTGGGGGTTTATTTACGGGTAAGTTACTGGTGATGCTGCTGGAGTTTGTTGCTGATGGGGAGTTTCGGAAAGGTGTTGTATTGGAGGAGACAGCCGGTAATACGAGGGACAAGAGTTGCTGGTGAGAGTTGATGGTGATGAGGATGCAATGAAGAAGATTTCCGAGGCTGGAACGCTGCTTGTTCCTCGGAAGACAAAGATAAACCAAACATGGCATAAAGTCTATTTATTATTCTTCCATCTCTTTCTGCTTGTCTATCTATATATTCACCACCCCGTCGATCCTCCGTCAACCCGCAAGTCCGCCCCAGTAACATACGAGCTCGCATCCGCCAGCAGAAACACCACGGCGCCGCGATACTCTTCCGGCCCAGAAATCCTCTTGAGCATCGCCTCCTGCTCCCACACCGCGGTCCACTCCTTGTGGGCGAGGACGTCTCGCGTCATTGGCGTGTGTATGACGCCGGGGCTGATGGAGTTGACGCGGATGGCGGGCGATTTTGATGATGGCGAGGAGCCCCATTCGCCAGCGAGGGAGCGGGTGAGTTGGTGGACGCCGGCTTTGGAGGCGGAGTAGATGGCTGTGGGAGTGGCCTGTGGCGATGTTAAATGTTTGGTCTTTTGGCTCTCGTCTCTCTCTCTCTCTCTCTTGATATTGGTTGAGACAAGTTGTAAACAAAAGAGCAAAGACAATTCAGCTCAACTCAAAACTCACTTTGTTGGTAATGTACCCGCTCATGCTCGCCACAAACACAAAACTCGCTCCCTCCCCTCCATTCCTCCCCTCCACAAATTGCTTCCTCACCACCTTGGCCGCCGCCTGCGCCACGTACAAGCTCCCCGCCAGATTCACATCCAGCGTCCACTTGGTCTCACGCTCCGGATAGTCGACCGAGTCGCCCACAGTGCCCACGCCAGCGCAGTTGACCAGGCCGCGCAGAGGGAAGGGGACTTGCGCAGCGGCTGTTTCGAAGACGGCTGTGGCTTGGGACGGGGAGGTGATGTCGCAGGCGTGGTATGTGAGGTTTCGGGAGAGTGATTTGGCGAGGGTCTGGAGAGGTTCTGGAGGTGTTTGTTGTTTAGTTTATTTCTTGTTGTTGCTAGCTAACAAAGTTTGAATTGGTTGTGTTTGTGTTATATTCACCCCATGTAGCTGCTGGTGGAATCTCATCGCGGTCAATGCCGATGACATCGCCGCCGGATTCGAGGATTGCTCTTGTAAGCTGGGAACCGAGGCCGCCGGTTGCGCCGGTGACTGTGTGAATTTTTATGCTATGTTAGGATATGATAGGATTGAGTTGATGGACAAACACGACAAAAAAAAAAAAAAAAAAAGACTTGCCAATGATGGTTCTTTCTCTCAAGGAAAAGAGATTTGGGGTGCTCGTGTTGAGAAATGTCTTGTCGGTGACTGTTTCCTTGGAACCCATGATGGCGTGTGAATAGGCTGACTGATATGAGTTTTGGGAAAGGAGTAGAACGGGTAGATGGTATTCAATAATGATATTTCTTTTCAATTTTTTTCAAAACTGTCAATTCCCAGGTTATTTATTATACTTTTCAATGCTTCAATACTTTCGTCTTTTTTGTCTGCCATCAAGCCCCACGCTTCACGATGTCTTCAACTCTTTACGTGCGTTGCAGTTTTTAGTGTAAGTGGACTCATCCGCACCCACACGTCAATTAGCGGCGGCCCCATATGCCGCTCGCCCGCCTCGTGTGTTTGATTCATCTCGTGGAAAAAGGAAAAGCCGGCATCAGGCAGCAGTTATAAACGAGCAGATGATCGGTGCGATCGTGAGAATTCTGGAGGGTCTAGACCATTGTTGTTGTTGTTAGTTTTCGCTTCTCTTTTACCGTTTATCAGTTTTGTCTGACGTGTGTTTTTGCTTAGCAATTTCGAAGAATTCTGGAGATGGAAATGCTTGTTTAGTTGATGGTAATTGAGAATTATTAAGCAGTGGTTGTAACAATGAATCAGCAATTGAGTTTGGTTGTGGAGGCCGATTTATATACTTGCAGAAACCAGTATGGCTTGTCCTCCACAGCTGCAAAATATCAACAACATGTGTTATAAGCACCTATTGAGTATCTACATGTTAACCTATTATAATAATAGTAGTAGAGAAAGAGAACAAACATTAGCTATAACTGGTTCGCTTACAGTAAAAAAAAATATATTACCGTATACTCACAATCTGTTCAACCAGAATTACTACACACCAATCAGTAACAAATAGCTTTAGTAATTATTCATATCCAGTATCTTACATACTACATACATTCCATAATAAATCAATATAGTTTATTTAAACTACTAAACAGCTTTACAAGCAGCAAGCTATCCGAAATCGTCCACCAGCCACCGTGGAAGAAAAAAAAAATCCTGGCGGAACGGCGGCCCGACGATCCACTCACCGCAGCACCGCATCGGAAAGCGGCCCGCCGGCGTCCAGTCACGCGGGGCCCAGGTCGTATCCAGTCTTTTTACGATTTTAATTTATTTCCTAATGTCTTTGTGGTTACTACAAGCACAGATGCGGCAGGCGAGCCGAAGGCGGGGGGGAGAACTAGTATAGAGCGTGACGACAGCAAGAGGTATTTGCTAAAGTGGATTTTCTGGTTTAACCGGGCGGTGGATAATCAAATGGATTCTGTAAAGGAAATCGAGGCGCGGCGAAGTCGGAGTGAGTGAGTTCACGATGTAGATTCCAGAGTAGAGGATTCGTATTAAAACGATTCTAGTCAGTAGATGCATAACAAATGAGCATATATATAAGGCATTTGCTCTTCTGTCCAGCCGCTGCGATTACATCTCCATTCAGACACGCTCCTCATCCACGGTATAGAAGTCATTCTAATAAACCCCAAAAACACTCACAAACGTCGTTATAAACACACACACACACACACACACACGTCTAGCACACAGAACATAATCATGGCTCGCACCATGCTTCATCGCCTCGAAGACCTCTGCAACGTCGACGTCGACGATGCCGACACGGCACTCATCAAGAGCATCCCCTTTACACCTCACAACCGTACGTCTCGCGCTCCCATCTTGGAATCCTAGGAGAAAAAAACAAAGGAGCTAACAGCCCTCCGTCATCTTCGCTTTAAATATAAAAAAGAAACCTCCAACCAGGCCATCATCACAAATGCACTTCTTGCCGACCAAGCTCTTCTAAAAGACCTCGTTCGCCAATACGGCTCTCAAGGCTGGGAGCGAGTCTACGACCAAGCCGTATGAAAAAAAACCCCCTCCCGTTTCTCAGTCCCTCATGCAAAAGTCCAGCCAACTTACGCCTTCATCGTCATCATCAAGGCCGTCGATCTCACAGCCCGCAACGTCCCCTTCCTCTCTGGCCGCGTCCTCATCCAGACGTCCCTCCGCCACATCTCCTCCTCCGCCGCCACCATCGCCCACGCCCGCACCCTCGCCAGCCTCTACGCCAACGCCGGCGTCTCGCGCGACCGCTTCGCCATCAAGCTGCCCTTCTCAGGGGCTGCTGCCGCCGCCGCGCGCGTCCTTAACGCAGAAGGCATCCGGACGCTGGCCACGAGCGTCTTTTCGCTGGAGCAGGGCATTGCGGCGAGTCAGAGCGGATGTCTCTTCGTCAGCCCCTATTATAATGGTGAGTTGGAGTTGTGTTTGGATCAGCCGAGGCTTCACAAATCATGTGAAAAAGCTTCTCATAAGTCATGGGAGAAGCTAACAACGTTTTGAAATAGAAATCGCGGCACACTTGGATGCATCTCTTCGCCCAACTTACGAAGATCCCGCTCTAGAGGTATGCAGACATCATATTATTCCTCAGCTGTTATCAAATCAAACACGGCAAGAAAAGGAAATCGAGAAAGCGCTGTTAACCGCCAAAGCAGCACCCCATGTCTCCTCGCATCATCCACATCCTCGAAGCCTTTGCCAAAGCATACCGCGAAACCGGTAAAGAGCAGCCCATCATGGTCATCGCAAGGTATGTATACACATCACATCGCGGTCTCCCGTAAAACAAATATCCCCTTCCCACACTGTACAAAGAAAGCATCAAGATTAAAACATCACATTGAACACATCAGCCACTTCACCCCCGGCGAAATCATGGCCATGGCCGAGCTCGGCTGCCCGCATGTCACCGTCCCTCCGCACCTCATCAAGACGCTGCTCGAAACCCCCGATACCCTCCCCCTGCCTACGACGAAGAAGGCCAAGCTCAGCTATGCCGAATTCGCCACAACGCAGCGGCTCACGAAGCTATCCACCATCGACCCTCTTGCTGGCCCTGACTGGGATGGCAAGCTGGCGGATATGCAGACCGATTATGTTGCAAACGGCGGCGAGAAGCTGGATGAGGCGCTCAAGAGAGATACTATTGCGAGCAAAAGGTTGAGAGATGCCGAGGTATTCTTCATTGAGATGGAGAATAAAGCCAAAGATGCCATTGAAAAGGAGATTGCTGCACAAGGATTGTAAATATACACAAAATTCTCCTACCCTCGCTTGGAATCAGCAGATTAAAAACGCAATAACGCGTACTTTAGAATCGTCACATGCTGGAGAATATTGAATAATGCCACATCATATCGCCATTAGTGTCTCTGTCGGTCGCGAAGTCGCAGCTTTCTCGCAACTGAATTAACAATCTCCAGGTCATGTTCGGCGCTTGTTCCGGGTCGTGCCCAAGGCTCAACTACTTTGACGACACTCTGGCGGCATGCGTCAATGTCCGTCACAAGATGCCCCAGATGCGGCGAATTGGCTGCCAGAGCAAGGACTAAGAAACAGTTCAAAGAGCTAGGGCTCGAATCAGTCAATCTAGATCTTCATCTCCATCTCCATCTTCCCACGCCGGGTAATGCCTAAAATCGAGAGCACTCACAACTGCAGTGAGCTATACGCGTATGGCGTCCTGTCCGCGAGCAAATATCCCGCGCCATGGAGAAAAGCTCGACACGCAGCCAAGCATACCTTGGACTGGGACACCACCGTCGGCGGCATTTCCAGCTCGGCCTTGTCAAATTGCGACGAGGTGGCGTGGATGACGAATGGTCTGAATATGCTCTGTTTCGCAGACCAATATCGCAAACGATGTATGCAAGCCTGCTTGTTCTGCGGCGGGCCATCGTACAGGTCTGGTTTGATGTCCACCGGGAGGGCCTCGTACCACCTTTCGAGCTGGAAATTGAGTTCGCTGCACATGCGTAGGAGAGATGCGTCTGGATGTGGAGGGGTTGAAGCTGATTGAGAAGTTGTGAGTGAGTCGAAGGCACGGCCAGCGTATATCGTGAGGCTATCTGTGAAGTAAATGGCATGATGCATGCGGTTGAGAAGAGAGCGGGCTGATATCTCAGCAAGCACGCAGAGATGCTCGAGCTTGGGACTGGTGCCATAGTTGGGGAAAGGCATGCGGTCAACAAGGATGTCGATGCCGCTCCTTGGCTGATGGAACTCTGCAAGAATATCACTGGAATTCCGGCTAGTTAGCTCATGGTTACAATGGCCTATTTATTTCCTTTGCCAAATAAAGCCGTTTTTTTACCTTTCAACAATAAAGCACACCCAGCTCAGCCGAGTCAACTCCTGAATCTCAGCTTGGCTAGATAAGATATCCTTACACCTACGCTCCCAGTCAGCCATCAGCCATCACACACAGCTAAATCATAAGATGCAAAACAAGATGATAGTTTACCGAATCAAAAGCTGCTGTATGCTTGTCGCAGCCATGTGTATCAGCCTCCACGCCGTCAACGGCTGCACCACGTACGTGAAATACAGCGCACACAAAATCAGCCCCTGCGACAGCAGAATGTTACCGCTAAACGATACTGTCCACGCTGGCACCAGGATGCGGAGTGCCCTTTGCATGCAGACATCGCCCGTGTTCTCGCTCTGCTTCCGATCGATGGGGTCAGACGCAGTAGCCCCCAGACCAAAGATGGCCAGGAACACGCCGGAGCGGATATCGGAGCCGAGGCCTTCTCTCATGACAACTTCGTAGCTAGCGAGGAGATCATCGCGGTCAAAGATGGGGTGAAAAGCGTGAACCATTGCAAGAAAGCTACTGAGGTAATCATCCGCAACCGTCCTGTCAACGCGCTTTTCTTCGCCGTGCAGGCCAGGTGCCGCCATAAAGTCCAGCGCCGTAGACCGATTCCTATCGTCTTCTACCCGGAAGAAGAAATCTTCAGGATAGTCGCCAACCAAAGGGCGCATCTGGGGCAGCCTCAGTAGGCTGCTGGTACTCGTCTGATGCCCCAGCGGTATCGTGATTGGCGGCACATCATCAGCGTCCACACCTTGTCGCGACGTGTCTCCCCCTTCATGCGTAGTAAGGGTCCAGGTGGAATGGGGCATCGAGGCCTCGTTTGAAGGTGAAGAGAGTACCCCGTCGTTTTCGCTGCTCTCAGCGCGCCGGCGAAAGAAGTCTGGCAGTGGAGGCGACATCATGAATGCGGATGAATTTCTGCGCTGCCGCTGTTGATGCTGTGCCTTCTCGTGCTGCAATGCTTTCAACGCCTCGGCGTGCTCTCCAAGCAGCTTCTCAATGCTTTCCAGTCGCTGGAGCATCACGTCTGACGCCGCAGAGTTGGCGTCATGATGATACTCATTCCGGTTCAGCTGATTGATTGCAGGAATATTCCTATCTCCACTGTTAGTCAAAAGCAGCACACATCGTGTTCTCAGGAGATATACAGATGGCTTCTTCTGCCTGCTCTATGGCGAGACATTGCGGCTTCATCACGGCTTCATCCCACGTACCTTGGAGGAGCGACTTCAGTGTACACGCAGTCAAATCCCTTTTCTTGACACGGCGTGCACCGCGGAGACAAGCCGTCGCAGCGTCTTTTCCTATACTTGATGTTTCAGCCAAAAAGAAAGGCAAAAAAGAAGAAAGAAGAAAAAAGAAAGGAAAGAAAAGAAAAGGAAAGAAAAGACAATCGAAGCGAAGCCATCGTGAAGCTGTTTGCGCAATGCTTACCGCTGTCGACAGTGCTTGCAGGCAACCATGACTCTTGATTTGCCGGGATTCATAGTCAACGGCAGTCTTTGAATCAATAGCCTCAACCTCAGTTTCTTGTTCCTTGAATGGTATCAAAGCCAAAAGTCGACGTGGCCCGTTGTCCCGCAGCCTGTTGAAGTAGCGAGACTCGAGAGTTGCAAGCCGGCCAATTGAATGGAGTGGCACCGGGCAACCGTATGACTAAGCAATCTTATGCACAACAGGATGAGCATGCCCAATACCTATTAGACGACACAACATGCGCTTCACGCAAAAGACTATACAAAAACTGCCAGCACTGAGCTGTTGAATAGACTCTTTTTTCCATTTCTAATGTATTGGCCGTCTCCATATAGCTAAAACTAACCAAAATGTCCCCCATCCTACGTGGCCATTTCTAGCGCCTTCCGGTTCGCATTTATACAAATCTCTAAACGCCGCGTTTTCCCTAAACAAGGGTAGGCCGTTGCTCTTTATTTCGGTCATATCGTTCCTATCAGATCAACAACATAGGGTATAACTCGTCCCGGTTTCCTTCCCAAAGGCAGCAGATCAAACAAAGCATAAAAACAAAAGTGTAGGTAATAAAAAGAAAAGAGACCAAATATGCTCATATAGCAGTTCCTGCCAGACTGATGCCCTTCCATAACTCCACAATGAAATAACTCCAGCGCCGAGTGGTGTTTAAGCTTAACACTCAGACCAAGATAGATGGAAAGATAAAAAAAAACAAGGGCCATAAGAAAATTAAGGAGAGGAGCAAACAAAAATCGACACCGCAACTATTAGTCAAAGGTGCCAATGCGCGGCCCAAAGTACTCTCCCGGCTTAAGGTGCTTCAGAGTGCATGCCCTGCCCTCGCAGCCCATGTCGGATGCCATGTTGCCCCACCAGTTGAATTTGGTGTCGGTGTATTGTAAGGCAAAGAAGATGATGATGCCAGAAATTGCAATGCCGCAAGACCAAGCCGCCGAAAGAACAAAGTTGTACTAGACAGAAACAGTTAGTGTTATAATTGAATAAAGGGCCCCCATGGAGAGCCCAGAAATTGTGGAGGGGACACATACCTTGGACCAAAAAGATACGAAGCGGGTTTTAAGATAGACCCAGGAAATCCACGCAATGGGAACAGACGGCCAGACATACGACATGTTGTACGGCGCCCAAACAATACCGCCGTACATGATGGCCACCGGGTGAATTTGTCGAGTCCAAGTCCACTGGGGAAACTTTTTCGCGAGCGCCCAGAAGAAGACGACGACGACGATGCCCAGGGGGAATCCAACCAGAATCTCGGTGTACTGGCCGTTCTGGCCAAAGACCTTTTGCGGCCCGACGGTTCCCCACAGAACGGATGCGGTGAAAAAAGTGTTGACGCCTGGGCAGGTGAGCTTGAACTGGGCATCGGGAGTGCAAACGCCAGTGATGCTCTTCATTTGGAAGTTGAGAACGCCGGTGCAAATGATGGTGCTGATAAAGGTGGCGATGATCTGGGCGATGAAGGTCTGACGGGGCGGGATCTTGACGTAGTGGGCGAGCTTGAGATCGTTGCAGAACCAAACGGCGTGCGCGCAGGTAACATAGCCAAATGACTTGAAATAATTCATAGCCAGTGCATTGCCATCAACAAAGGAGCCGCCAATGAATTCGGCCAGCACATTGAGGGTGACTTCGATGCCCGTCATGGCCTTGATGATGCCCACGGGAATTACAAAGACGATGCAGAGCGCCAGGCCATAGAAGACGACTCCAGGAGAAGTGTTGGTATCCCACCCGGCGATACCGGCGATACCCAAAGCAATGGCGATTAGGAGACAGATCAGATACCACCATTCCGGAACTTCGGGGTACGCCTTCATCAGCCGGTTATGGACGTCAAGGACCCTCTCGTCCTTGATCGGGTTCTTCTTGCGGAAGCTGGCGAAGAGAGACTTGAAGCCCATGACAATCTCGTGACGGTGGTAGAGCACAGCGTATGTCAAGGTTGACGTGTAGATGCCGAAAAAGAACATGTAGATGACAACGTTGCCGGCACTCAGGAACGGTGGCGAATATTCCTTGTACTCGGCAGCGTGGAACAGGCCTCGATCGTCAACGGCCCGGCTGATGTTATAAAGCTTGCCAAAGTGATCGTATACGCGATTGCTGTTGATGGGGAGGTAGCCGGTATCGTAGACGTTACTGTACCAGAAGGCGAGGACCACCCAGAAGGAGATGAAGACGCCAAAAAAGCGGTTGAGCGTGCTGTAGAAAGGGACCATAAGGGGGTCGGCTGAGTCCCAAAGCAAAACGTTCCAGTCAAAGGTCGGGAATGGGTTAACGCCGAGGCCATGGTTGATGCCGGTGATGACATTCAGCTCGCGGTTGTGAGGGGCAATCCATGACATCCAGTTGAACCTGGACAGGGCCGTGAAGATGTAATTGGGGAACCAAAACCATACGAACATGGCGCCGAACATGATGTAGAAGAACTTGATACGAGACACCTTCCATTTCTTTCCAAAGGGACCCTCTACGGGAGCATTGGTTTCGTTATGGAAGGCCTTGTTGAGGGCAATGGTGACAAGAGAGGCCGGCCACACGCAGTACGAGGGATAGACCAAGAATCGTCGGCAGATGCCCGCCATGCCGTAGCCAATAAAGTTGGTGGCCAGGGCAATAAGTAGTTGGTACGCGACGTGGGACGCATAAGGCTGGTTGAAATACTGGGGCAGATACTGCACCCAGATGATGTTGTTGGTGTAGGGCGTGTTGTAAGCCACGTTTGCCATGATGGTAATGAGCATGTGTTCCTTTTTCGAAAAGGGCCCTGGGTTAAGGGAGTGATATGTGCCAAAGAGGGTGAAGCCGACATCTGGTAGCCAATTCTCGCAGGCCTTGCCCACTGGATAGGACAGCAGCTGGGCGACGTTGGCCATAACCCGGATGGCGGGCTGGCGAATATCGAACAGCTGGTTGATGAAGGCCAGCAGACAGCTGAACGCTAGACCAATGGCCCAGCTGCGGATAGTTGAGCACGGTGTGGTGATGTCGTCCTTGTTGCTAACGACAGCGCGGACCTCTGCATATGGACTGTTGCTGGTGACGAGAGCGGCTTCCAGCTTCATCTCTTGGATCAAATGCTGATGCTTTTCGGGGTTGGAAAATACGGATTCATTCTCGAGAAAGGCCTTGATCTTGTGTATAATGACGGAGGGGAAGTTGTGATCTTTTTCGTGGACGCGAAAGACTCGGGCCATGATGTCGCGGACCTCTTCGAGCGTATACCGAGAGGCGAGTTCCTGTGCCTCGAGCAAATCATCTTCGGTGACATTGAGGTCGTGCTCGGTGGTGTTTTGCGTGGGGTAGTAATCGCGGTCGTCTTCGTCATAGGAAAAGGGCTCCTGCGAATGGGGGTATGGGCAAAGATGGCCCCAAGAGTCAGCGCCGAGATGCAATGCAATTAAAGATGTCGAAATTGGAGAGGAGGGGAGAAGGCGAAGTGAGTAGTGGAAAGGAAGCATGTTGAGGTGAGAAAAGAGGCAGAGATGGAGCAGGAAGTCCTTGGCCCATCGCCCGCTTCTTTTCTTATTCTTTCTCCCTTGCTTTCCTGTGCGTCTTCCAGTTCCCCAAAACTCGACAATGGCCGCACGGCTACTTTGCGCAACGGTTGCCTGTGGCTTGAAGGTGGGATTTGGATTGTTCTCGCTATGGCTTCCTTACCGAAATGACATCCTTGATGGTATCGTCGACGACGGACGGGCGAGACGAATTGGCCGAGGGCATCTCAGCCACCCCACTCGCGGGAACGGCCTTTTCGTCGTCGGCCATGGCCAGTGCTTGTTGCGAGATCTGGCGGATTGGCGAGAACTGGGGGAGAGCGAGATTGACAGGTCGAAAAAGGCCGTCGGAGAGCGCTCTCTCTCTCTCTCTCTCGCACACACACACACACACTTCCCGCGCTCTCTCTCTCGTCTCTGATCGCTGGTCGCCGGTCTCTCGAATTCGCAGGCAAAGGAGCGTTGGAGGGCCAGCGAGGCCAGCGGACGGCACGAGGGGCGAAGAAGCACGAAGAAGCGCCAACTCGAGGGCCAGGGCTGGGCTGCAACGAGGTTGGAGAGAAGCGGCGGGAGGGTAGAAAAGGGCAAGAAGAGATCGGATCCAAAAAGACGCCAAGGGTAGGCCGCTGGACGCAGGGACGGGATGGCGGCTTTGGGGATGCTGGGGGGTTCTTTAGGCCCCGATTCAGTGATCAGAGATGCTCTGCGGCGGCCGCGGACTCGCTGTCGGGGCTTTTTTAGGGACTTTCCAGGGCTATCGCGGTCGGCCAGCGGCTATCGTTCGTCCACCAAGCGGGTCCGTGCAGTGGCTGGCGGAGGAGAGCGAGAAAAAGGTACAAGGCGCATGTGGTGCAAGGCGGGAGATGCCAGGTACTCCGCAGGTAGCGGCGACCGCCGCCAACTGCAATACGGGTGCTTGGTGCGTGGGAGATTCCCGCCGTCGCTGGCGGAGGCGAGCAGCGCTCGGAACGAGGTTAGCAGCGCTTGGCGCAAGCGTTCTAGACGTCGCGGTACTTGGACGGTACCTTCTTCTGGGGCCGAAACGCCAGGTGGGTGTGGTAGCGACGAAGCAATAGCGGCAATGCCAAGAGCCTCTTAATTGCCGGACAGAGACCCAGCCTGAGATCCATATGCTCCATACCTAGTACAAGTATGCTATTCTGCTGCTGTAGCAGCTTGACTGCGCCTCAATGCGACAGTAACAGGTACGTTTGCACCATCTGCAGCCGGCACGCCAAGCAGGGACCTGCTCGAAGCATCGCAAGAGTCTCTTGGCAGCTAATTTTGGGATGTTATATAAGACCGGGGGTTTATACCAGTCTGGTGCCATGCGTTATTGATCTCTACAATCACTGCCAGGCGGCTCTGATATATTGACAGCAGCTGTTCCCAGTATTGCCCCTGCTTAGTACCTCTCGCTACACTTAGGACCCCCAGCAGCATCTACATGCACCTACAGGCACCAAAGCGGTAAGAGCCTCTACAGCCGTTTCAAAACTCTGCCGTGCCGATTCCATCTCCATTCTCCATCTGCCAACACAAGACAATTTTCCAAAGCTTCGTTTCATCAGGTGGGAAGAGGCCCAAGTTGCGCGGATAGCCTGTGCCGGGCTGGGCGCAGATTGTGCATAGCAGCTCCAGCATCTGCGAGTCGCAAGAATTTCGGCGTTGGGCTCCGAGCTCTCTCGACTCTTTTTCTCTTTTTTCTCTCTTCCTTTTTTGCTTCCTCGTCTCATCAGCGGCAAAATCGGCTCTTGGGGCCCCCATCTCTTAGTGGCGGGATCGCCAGCCGTGTCTCTCTTTCAAACGACCAGCTCTCCACCGGCTAGCAAGGCATCAGAGGCGTTGCATCACTTGACTCTGCTGTCTCAAAGAGCATTGCTACAGTGCTACTACATACTAGCAGTCCTATCAAGGTACCGGGTGCAAAAATGTGCATGTATCCATGTTTATTCCATCTAGCAGCAGCATCTTGTCAAGCATCACAGTCATCGTTTGTACGAGCAACAGGCCATCATCCAAGCTCCAATCCCCAGGCCTCGATATTGCGGAGCAAGCACACACAACTATTTCTGCGGCTGCCATCAAGTACGACTGCCGACCACTAGCACGGGTACAGTATGCATTCTCTCTCAAATACCGCCATTGCAGCAACGCTTCTAGCGGCTCGTTTGGAAGCCTCTCTCCGTATTTCTGCTCGTGATGGACGCGCTAGGAGCTGCTACTCGGCTCACGGCAATCAGGAAGCAAGGCTCGTGGTCCTGGTCCCACCAGATGGCTGGCGATCGGCTTGGACGGCACGCGAGGACAGCGCAAGAGCCAGCAATCATCCATCAGTCGACAGCTCGTGAATAACAATAACGGCCAACGATGTTCGCATTTGTCGTGAGCGGCTGAAAGTGACACGAAGATACTTGGTAGATGCGGCTGTTTCAGCTCCATGGAAGACGGCATTGCTGATTTTCTTGTCTTGCCTCAGGCCGCCCGTGCATCTCTCGTATCCCCGTCTCCCCAAGTTACGCTACACCAGCCACAGACCACATCGTGCTATCGCCAATCGCTGGCATCGAGCAGAACGAACTTGTAAAGCAGGAAGTCGGAAATCCGAGCCTAGCCAAGCGTGAAAAAAAAACCATCTGTTAGCGGTCCCGAGCAGCTACCGCAGCCATCTCTGGCACTCGGCAGTGACGGCGCAAGCGCGGGCCCATGGGATCGGATTGGCGTGAGGAAGCGACTGTGCTGCTGCCATCAACGGTCCATCAACTGTCCCCGGCCGTGGTTACGCTCGTGCGGGACTCGGCATCGTAGCGCCACCTCCATTCCTGCCACTCTCACGGGGCATGCGCTCGAGCGTCCCATCATTGTGCATTCATTCTTCTCTGCCTGAGACAGTCACCGCCTCGTCCAACTGTCGGCGCAGTCTCTCTCATACCAGGCACAAAGCCTGCCATTCACATGAAAAGCGTTGCGGCTTGGTACTTGATACAGAGACTCGCCACGTTCTGTGCCGCCATGGCGCAATAGGCCGGCTCTTTTCGTCCTACCCCAAAGGGCCAACGAGAGTGACACAAACGCAAAAAGAGAGCTAACCCCAGCTTCTCGGCTCCGTTCTTCCGTCTTGGCATTTCTTCCTGCTGACGCGTTCGCAAAGTGCCACAGCGCTCTTGGTTCTCAGCCATAAAAGCTCTTATCACTAGCGGCTGCATGCAAGCCAGCCAACGTGGCGCCAAAAGCCGTTTTATATCCAAACAGGGGAAATGGCTGTGCAAACACCAGTTGGAAACAAGACGAGTATAAAGACGGTAGGAGCCGCAAACGCTTGGAATGGCGGTCGAACTTGGTCGTGGCGATCAAGAGTTGCAGCACTCCCTCCATTAGCAGACCAGACTGCGGTTAAGCGGTATGCAGTATGCAGTATGCAGTATCATTAATACCGGTGATCCAAACTGGACGCTCACTACAGCCTCACCACAATTGAAGACTGTGTATATTTTTAATTACATCATTGAAGCATGAATTACTCCTGAGCATGCTACGAGATACCTCATACTTTCAACTGGTCGTTGCGTAAACCTGCAGTCTACATGAGATATTGTTCGTCTCAACAGAAAAGCCCGTCACTTTCTTAAGTAATCTGGACAACTTGTTTTAGTTAAAAGATAAGCAACTCAGTCATTATACGCTCGGTATTAGGAGAGAGTGGGCGTGGTGTGTGTGGGCATTGACTCCCGACCTTGCGTGTTTCTCGTAACACTACCTTTGTATGCATGAGTCCCGTCTTAAAAATTCGTATTTTATTTCTTCCTCTCTATCATAAGCTTTTTACCAGTGGCAATCACTGCATCCCCGCTTGCTGATCGAGTCGTGTTCTACCGTCATTCATGATGATCAGGAATGAAGCCAGGCTATAGATTTCGTTTCATATTCGACGCCTTAGTTCGACATCCGTTTCAGTGATAAGTTCACAATAACCAACAGCAAACTCCAAAAGGAGATTCCAAGCAAATCGTCAGAAGCAATGGACAGACTCTCGATAAACATATGAATATGAGATACTTTCGGCTCCCAAATCTAATCTGCGACGAATGCGTGCGGCAAGACAACAACTATTTGAATGACTGGACACGTAATAACGAAGATACACAGGTCGAAGAGATCATGAGTAGCAATTTTACACCAACAGTAACTGAGATTGTCGTACGCCGTTGATTGAAAGCCCGATAGTCAGTATATATGTGGCAATATCGGTAAGATCTATACTGCCATCTATACTGCCTTTATAGCAAAATGGCCGCAGACAATCCAAGAACTGACCTTTTTTTTTTTTCTCCTTTCTCTTTCGCAGGCCAATTTCATCAATTTGCAATACCCCATACGGTCTTATTTTACCGAAAACTCAAAAAACGGATTGGTCAGATATTTTGTTATGAGCTTGGTATACAAGTGACGGTTATTGCCATGCCATACAAGATAGAGAGCCGAAATTTACCAACTAGGAGAATTCGCAGATCATCCAGATACTATCGGTATATAGGTCGTGGTACACCCAACGACATCTAAGCAATGTATATCGTTGATTCATTTTCACGTTGGGCATGTAACGTAAAGCAGATTCTTGAGATGTATTATCTACCCAGGGAATAATGTTTGTTTCTACCTTGAATACGATAGCCATAGACCATGACGAGTTTCGATGTCCCAGAGCCAGGAATAGGAGGGGCTCTCCTAGTTCGGGTAATTGTTGTTGGGTTCATAGCCACATTTTTCAGGCAGTTCCTATATTCTTTGCTTGTACTTTGCAGAAATAGTTTTGTGACAATGTATCCTCTACTATATCATGAACTTGTGCCTCGTGCTGCCGCAGTCCGCAGTCAGAGTACGGCTCCAGCGAGGATGGCATGCAAGTAATAACCATGTTGCCCAGAGCTGTAGCTGGCCGTCATTTGGGGACGCAAGAAGAGGAGAGGAGAGAAAGAAAACAATGGTTGTTCAAAGCAAAGCTTCTTTTCATTCTTAACCTTTTTTTACTCTAGTAGAGATAATATAGACACATTCTCTGCCATTAACCTCCCTTTCTAACGTTTAGACTTGTCTAGGATATAATCCGATAGAGCAGCTTGTAGGTTTCATCTAGGTCCTCAGCTCCAGATATATCCTCTAATTAAAGCATTTACATGCAGCCTATCTACAGCAGCTACTCCATCACCAACAACCTGGACCTTGCTTTTTGCTGAGAAGGGTCTCAGTTCCATATACAACCAGATCAAAAGCTCGACCGCTTCCACAAAGCACTCAACTTCCGCTTCACCTAGTATAAGAACAGCTCGATGATATGCCAATTGAATCACATCTTAATTTTGTTCTAGCCTCAAATTCTTCCATCGCCAGTGTCGACCAAGTTCACGCCAAGAAGGTTATTGATGATTCGCTATCAACGGCTGTGCATATCTACTCTACTCCAAGAGATTTCGTCAACCGACGGCGACTGCTGATTTTTGATGAGTCTGGCAATAAAAGAGCTTGGTTTACACTATTGGAAATGTAGTTACAAACCAGATCTCTCTACTTTGGTAGAAGGCTGTCGGCGGAAT